GAGTAAAAAACAATAAATAAACTGGTGTTACGTTGTTTCCTATATCGATGTGAAATAAAATCCTTTTCGGCACCGTTTAAATTTTCTTTCCATATTCATAGATATTCTAATAACTTATTAATTTACATCGGGAACAATGATTTCCTTCGCAATGAGGTGTGCCAGTTGCCGTTTGGCATGTAATTAGAAACAAAGATTGACCCATAACATAACTCTTCGTAGGCCGGCAATTTGCCTTTTGGTGCCGCTTGAATCTGTTCACAGGAAGATGTATGTATATATTTCTTCAGTTAGCAATTCATGAATCGATTGTAAGATGATGCACATTAATTTTGAAATAAGCATTCATTTTGACTATATATCTACTCAATGTATATAGTTGTATAAAAAAGTAATAATACATTTTCACTTCAAAATGTATAGTTTTGGTAAATATTATCATAATTTACAATATCTTCTCACCTAGACAATTCCAATAATTTATAAATTCCTTAAAGAATAAAAACAATTTCAAAAATGTTAAAACTTTTTATAGATTTATTATATTGTAATACATAAAATTTTGTAAATTAATAGATTATTATTAATATAGATGAAGTATTTTATAAAATATTTTTTTAATGTATTTAAAATATGTTTTCATATTAAAACAATATTACATTTATATATCATACTACATTTTATTTCTAAAAGAAATTTAAAACATGTATAAAAAATTTTGAACTAAAAAAATATTTTGTTCTAGGCTGTAATTTTATTTTATTTTTATTTGGGGAAGAGTGATATTGTGTCATTACAAATTTGCCAACACAAAATTCAATTTAACTACTAAAAAAAAAGGGTATGTACATTGCCAATTATAAATATGATACACGGATTACTCGGTGTGGAAAACAACTTGACATTTGAAAAAATCTCAAGAATATGTACCGCCAATTGTATATATGAACTCGAAATGAACAGAAAATATCTGAAGCATTTACGCTCCATTTAAAATGTGTATTCCATCCTAATAACTAGGAGTTTAATTTAAACACCACGATTTTATATACTGTTGATCAACTTATAGATCTAATTTATACATTTTACACTTGTTGAAGTAGTAAATAAATAAATAGATAAAAACTTGAAATCTAAAAAGGCTTCTGATTATGATGGAATGAGACCACATATAATTAACTACTATAACAGTTGTAGTAGTTAAGTATATGTATAATATAGTACAGTTACTATACTATATGGAAAAGCGATAATTTTAATAACTTTCATATTTCATGCCTACTTACGTATAGAATATACACCTAAAAATTGAAAAAAAACCATGAAATCATGTTATTAAAAACAAAACATATCAGCATGTAAAATCTAATGTTTTAGCTCTTACAAACTGATATTAGTTCTTCCTACAATGTCAAACCTTTTGAAAAACTATTTACATTAAATTAAAACAATATATTCAAGACACATCCATTTATTCTTGGTGATCAATTTTGATTTCTTATAAAACATTTTATTATATATCAAATAGACATCGTATTACAAACAGTAATGTAGAAGTCAAAAAAATTAGTTAGGGTAAATTTTTTTTAATTTTGAAATAATAACCCATCCTTAGGAACTACATAATTTTTTTTTTTTGGCTTTCACCTTTAAAATTATCCTATTATAATAAGCAATAATTTGTATTGTCATAAACTTCTTACCGAACCCGATTATTTGTTGTTTGATGTAATTTTTGTAGTTTAAGAACAATTTTTCGAAGTCATTTAAATATTTTTTTAGTTCCTAAATAGAAAAAAATGTATTTTTGGATTGGATCTAATTAATTTTAATAAATTTGGTTCACCTTTTTATTATACAGAATATACGAATGGTTTAAACATTGAGACACGACAATTTTCACATATAATAACTAAAAACAGACATATGTTATACCACAAGAGTAAAATTAACTCTGTAGGATTTGTCTACTATACTAATCAAGAAAGGAGACAAAGACAGAAAAGAGGTGATTGGATGTAATTAGGTGTGATATGAATAAACATGGGCAACTTAATGGAAATAATTAACTCAAATTAAGTATGAACAGTGTCGATAAATTAACAGTTAAAATTTACCAAATTATAAATTTAACTAGGTAGATTAAAAAATAGTCGAAATTTTTTTTAAACTAATTAGTTTAAAAAAGTTTATTACATTTAAAATTAATTTTTCGGATAAAATCTCTTAAATTCATTTTTTATTGGTCGGTGTTGTAAGGGAAAGCTAAAAATCGATTTTTAACTTTTAAAACTGAATAGGAAGAAACTATTAATGATAGTTTTGTACATTTTGTAGTTAGTTGTACTGTTTTATTTTTATAACTAGTGATTTAAAAAAAATCAGTTAAAAATCACGTACATTTTTGTAAAAATTCAGAAAATTATATTTATTATAAATATAATTAGAATAGGGAAAATTGGATTTTTTTAAAATTAAACAACGTACACAGCAAATAAAAACATACAATTTTTTTATAAAATTTTGAATTTAGAGTAACTGTTATTTTAACTAATTAACTGAACAAAAAACTAAGTTATTTCAACGTAAAATTAAATTAGGTAAGTTAAAAAAATTATCAGAAAAATAATTAACTAGTTAAGTTGATAAGTTAAAAAAATTAACTTTTTAACTAGTTAATGCCCACCATTGGTAGAGGACTGTTAATGATAAAAATGATGTGAAAGATCTTACCATCAGGCAAGGGAGAAAAACAAGTGGAAGAATGTTTAATCAACACAAATAGTGTATTTTTATTATTATCAAATAATATTTATCAATAAGTAGAACCTGGTCACAACAATCAAAATTAGTTATTACCACAATTGTTTATTGTTAACAAAATTGTAATACTGCTATATAAAAATTTTTTTTTTTAAATATTCAATAGATACCACAAAGTTGAAAGAATTGGCAAATGTGTTATCATGGATACAAAACATAAAATTTTGTTATATTGCGATGTATAATACTTTTATTACACTTGTGGGTGTTGAAGGTATTATCACGGGAGGTAAATATATAATTCCCCATCATTTGATGACAATACAAAACATTTTGTGATAGGCGTGAAAATAGCCTCTCATTGTTTATACTCCTGCTACGATTTATACAAGAAAATCGAAATAGGTTAGAGATATTTCCCGATTTGGGACTTGAAATTCACTATAGAGCATATACCCTATGGTATTTTTACGAAAATAACATAGATTTTATTCAATATCATTATATATTTATTTTTGGTAGTTAGAATTTCAAATGAAAACTGAAACCTATAATATATATATATATATATACAATCGATTATACATCGTTCACGCCTTTCATACTGAGTATTTACCCTCAATCCAGCGTTTATAAAATATAAAGCAACCTGTGGATTGTGAGCGCATAGATTTAGTAATAAGAAATAGTAGTTTTTCGACATAAATCATAAACTTCTGCGGTGACGGGCAATTCTAAAAAGCGTCCGACTACAGTAATAATAGTGATCATTTTAATAAGTACTCAACGCATTCATACACTTTTAAGACTGTACGAACATGATAGAAGGATTCATTACAAACGAGATACGTATATTATAATACTCGTCGAGTGTATTTACAACCGTTGACGTCTGATTACCATATAAGCACCAATATTGGTAACATCCAATCGCCCTGTGCTTGTATATTAATATCCTCGTCTTTTCCTCCCCTTATGACTTATGTGTCAGTATCATACACGAGGCACAAGAAACACGTCCAAAATCGATTTCTGTATTATTTTACGATAAGATTAAAGCGCACAAGTCAAAATCTATGAAGTCTACTATTAATCATGTCCAATGGATTTCTGATCATGATTCGATCACATTTGTAATACTAATAATTCAACGGATTGGCACGACGACTGTCGTACAGTGCGAGTGGACATTAAAATATTAATGATAATAAAACACATAGTAATCATATTGTTATAACAAATCTGAGATTGAATAGTCCGGAAGCAAATATATAGGCGCCAGGCCGCCAACGACGATAAACAGCGAGACACGCTGTAGGTGGTAAGAAAGCTGGACAGATTCGATTTTTCATGGTAAAACACTAATCGACTGCTCTCATATTTACAAGAGAATACATTGACAAATTTGTGATAGTAACATCAAAGAATTTCTAAATTTAATTCAACGCTGAAGTTAATTTTCGAGCTAATGATATCAATTGTATGCAGACAAAATGTCGAAAAATAAAGTCCATTTACGTTTATGTAAATGGCTATTTTTCACTGTCAAAATTATGACGTGATGAAAGATAGCCAATTTTTTTTGAACGAAAACGGTCGAAAAAGTCGCTATGGTCTCATTTATATACTTCCATAACTTTGATCTTGATGGTACAGAACGTAAATTGTATCCCAAGAAAAATAATATAAACGCTTAAAATTGACGAAATTAAAAAAAAACATAAGCGGCATTAAGCTCGAGGAAACTTGGCTCTCAGAATGATAATTTATTTGTATTTTTATTATTAGTTAGCCGTCTGGAATCGATATGAAAAAAAATTACAAACACTCCTAAAAATGTCGATGTCACAATGCGTAAGAGATTGATTAAAATATAATAAAATATTCTCATATTTAATTATAGAATAAAAACGTTTCTTATTTTGAAGAAATTAAACTCCTTAATCTGATCTATTACCATATCTCCTAGTAAATATAAAATACAAGATAAATGAAAAAGCTTTCATACCAAATGTTGAAGTATATTATGATGACAAATAAGATGTATATTAGTGCTATAAATATGAGCTAAATATTTTTTCTAAATCAAAGAAACAAGCAAAAATTATAGCAATAGTCATAAAAAAAAAAAATCATGAATAATATCAAAAAATAATTTTATGCAATGAAAACAATTATTATTGTTTTCATTTTTATATTATATATTTATAATATAAAAAAAAAGAAAATCAATAACATAAAAAAAAATAATTGTGTAATTGTTTATTGTTTTTTTTATAATTAATATTTTAAATAGTTGATGAATTATACAGAATCACATATAACTTAAATAGTATAACGTTAATTTGAAGAAAATTTACTCTTAATTTTGATAATATTTTACATAATAGAAATAAAAGTTATAATACATTTGAATAATATTTAAAATAAAACATACATTTGATAACAGTTTAATAGGAAGTAATATAATAGTCTAGAGAGCATTAATAATTTATAAGTGAAATATTTATATCTAAAATCTTATAACAGATTGACCATACCGAAGCTAACTAATGAACCAGTAGCAATACCAACACCTAGAAATGTAACCATTATGGAGCTGGCTACTTCTTGTTCATGCTTTTCAACAAACCTGTAATAAAAATATGATATTAGAGAGTTTAGCTTATTGATACATTAAGTAAATGATTACTTAGGAATTGACGTCATAGTAATAGTTGATATGACTCCATTAGTCAAACCAAAAAGGATAATAATTATTGCATATACATAGTCACTGTGTATTAAAGCATCACTGTGATGGCGCGGTTTGGCATTACAAAACAAAAGTAATGGTATAAAGGCTGTTCTCAAAAGTGATATAACTAAAGATGGCCAAACTACATTATCCATCTGAAATTTTTTTTTTTTTTAACATTAAAAGGATTAAAATTTTATAACTAATTTTGCTTGAAAATATGTTTTACCAATTTAATATAATGTGGTAAAAGTCTTCCAACAAAATCCATTGCACTGAAGAGTAAGTAAGCCATTACAGGTACAAAGTATTTATCTGTAAACACACTTTATAATTTAAGCATACATAAAAAAAATAAATAAAATAAATAAAAAAATTTAATTTTAAATAAACATTGACACATTTACTATTGAGAAGAAATGCTTTATTGTATAATTCTGTAAAGAAAGATATTCTTAAAAACAATAATGAATTTTAAAATAGAAAACTATGTTACTACTTTAAAAATTTACAAATAAATCAAATAATAGTATTTACCTGTCCAAGAATTATGTATATTTTCACTTGAAGATATCAATACTGTTACTGCTGGATAAACGGACATAGTGACAACGTAACAATACCAATTGCTTAAGCCTAATTTCCATATCTGTAATAAATAATTAAAAATCATTACTAATATTCATTAATTATTTGGTAATACAAGTGTCTGGCAAAAAAAATTAATTTAGCAAATATTATTTTATGTACCATGCTAAATGGAACTGGAGATAACAGATTTACATACTTATACTAACATTTATTTACAAGATTATACATATAAAATAAATAATAATTTACTTACTTTCTTTAATATACAAATACTGTCAACAGGTGTATCTGAATCTGATTCAATTGCTGTATACTGAATGGAGGATGTATGTCTAATCCAAGAACTAGCAGACATATCATGAACATAATATTTATAAACATCCTAAAAATTGTAATTATAAACTATTAGTTATTAATATAAATATGTTTATTTTAGTACATATTTTAGGTTATATATATATGCTAACTTAATACATTTTTACAAAAAAAAAAAAACTAACAAAAATTTAAGTTAAACTATTCCTATTAAAATCTTACCAATTTAACTAAAACTGTGTACAAAACTAATGATAACAATATAAATATATCTGCAAATAAAAAATATACAAATGCACTATGAACAGGAGAAGCACCCCACCACAAGGCCAATATTTGAGCTATAGCAGCAAAAACACCACCAAGAGCTTGGCCACTTATAGTTGCAGTCATATAACTACTTTCAAAAAAACTAGCCAGTCCATATACAGCTCCTTGCATTATAGCACTTCCAACTAAAATTTATTAAGTAATATTTATTTTTATATACAAAATAAAAGTACATGTACTTACTATTAAGAAGAACTACAACTCCGATTGTCATTAAAAAAAATAAAACTTGCCAAGAATCAGTGTTTATATTAACAAATACTGTTGTGAATGCAAACAGGAAAAGCATAAATAAAAGTGAACTTATCATCCGTAGTTGAATAGAAATTCTATGAAGAAAAATGAAACTCCAAATTAATTTTAATATTAATATATATATTCTATAACATGTAATGAAAAAAATATAATTGTGATATGTAATTGAAACTATAAATTAATATCGTATAACTTTATAAATTACTAAGAATTAAAAGAAACTAGATAAAATATTGATACCATAATTCTTTAAGCTTCTTATATTATACATTATGTAATTAATTAATTATTTATTATATTTTATAAATAAAAATAAAATATAAAATATTTTTATTTTTTGAATATGGCCCAAATGAAAAACATATCTAACTTTATATATAAAAAATAATGTCAACTTTTTATTTATTGCGCATTATTTACAAAAAAAAAAAAAAAAATAGTCCTATAATATATTCAATATTTCTAAAAATGATCTCTTTTAAAAAAAACATGCTTTGAGTTTAGTTTTTTTAATTATTATTATTTCTTTTTAATTACATTATCAACTAATAAAAATTTGTTTTTTTATACTATCAATACAACATATTATTATAGTTCAACAATTATATTTTATTACTGTTATTATTTTTAAAGAGCAGTTTGCAGAATTGATGAAACAAGTGTTAAGAATGAGGATCTCGAAATGGTAGGTTACTGACGCTATAACAATATCGTCAACTTGCTTCCCAAAATTAAAAATAAATTTTTTTTTTTATTTACTTTTTGGCCAAATAAGTATTTGAAAATAAAACTAAAGTACTAGGGATTGATGCTGCTATAGTCAGAAATGATGTAAAGTTTGCTTGAAGTCTTGATGAATGGTGAGGATCATTTGGCCAAATTATTGAACTAAAATGAGTGCTATTTGATATAGTTCTCAATTTATACATCCAATACTGAAAATAAAAATATTTTTATTAAAATAATTTGCAATTTTTGTAGAATTGTTATAAATAAACCCATCATATTTTAGCAAAATAGAATTTAATTTCCATACATTTTTAAATATATGATAATATATATAAATATATATGAATTGAAAATGGTACAAATTATACTTGAAATTACAATATTAAATATATAGTCACTGTATTAACTATATTAAATAATAATAATACTTACATCATGTGCAGTCATAAAAAAAAACCATGGCAATAAAAGACAAGTCCCAAGAACATAAAATATTATGAATCCTAAATAGTATCTGTAAGAAATATGTAATATATATATTTATTTATATTGTTAATTGTAATTATGCCATTTATAAAATGTATATATATAAAACATTTATTATGAATAAAAAATATAAAATTATATACTCTATTATACTAGTACAGTCTTACTATTTTCATTATAAAGTACAAATTTTGTCATCAAATTGTGTTAAAATCTCAATAATCAAAAGCGCTAAGTATGATTAAGTAAAACCCACAATTTTACTAAAAATATTTCTAGGTGATATAACATTTAGCTAAGCAAAAAGCAATTAAAACAATATTCAAATAATTTTAAGCCCATAAATGTTTTTAACCCTTTTAAAATAAAAAAAATAGTTAAGATAATAAAAAAAATTTTGTGCATTTAAATTTGATTTAATAAAAGCTTTTTTTATTGAACATAAACTATTAGAGGTTATCAATTATTTACCAATTTATTAATTTCATAGAAGTTTCTCTATATGTAGAAATCTTAGAAAAATATTCAAATTTTACCTTTTTTGTTATTAATAAATAATAATCACAAAAAAATTAAAGTTTTAGTTTATTGGTACATTGACGACAAAAATTAATTTATATGAGTTCAGATTTTTCTATTATATATAATAAACATCATAAAACATATTGGCCAACACATGACAGCTAAATACATTTGAAATATTTAATGTCTGTATAATATTAAATATATTACACTTTACAACCTAAAAAGCTATAAACTTAATACCTTAAGATTTACACATTCGCAATAATATTTGTGTAGTTTTAACCATTATATAATAAAAAAAAGTTAATATTTTCACTTAAAAGTAAAAAGATTTAACCATTTTAAAGTTTATATCTTTAAATAACATATAATTAATAAATTAAATTACCTATCTGGAGGTTTTAAAGGAGTGTTGCTATGTTCATTGACAATAATATTATCTAAATTTCTATCTAATACTTGAGGATTTCCAAACAATCTATTAGATCTATTTCCTGAATAAATAAGTGATTCATTGTCATTCATTTTTCTCTTGATTAAATAACTGTAATTATAGTAGTTCTATAGTTTTAAGTATTTTAATTAATATACACTTATTTTTGCATACCAATATGTTAGAACAATTCTAAATTATTCTAAACATTTTCATTCATATAAGTTTAATATATATAATAAATACAATACAGATCGTAATTTATAATGATAACCATAAAAAGAGATTTCATAAAAATGACTTTAGTTTGTTAACTTATAAACAACATATCCATTTATTTTTAAGTTCAGTAAAAAGCATATAAAAACAAATACGTCATTAATTATGTTTATTATTATTATCTTACAGAAATTATTCTAAAAAATTAATAAAAACTAGCACTGTTGGATTTTGTATAAATTTTAATTACGCACAATAGCACTTGCAATAGGTACAAAATTCAAAATGTATTTTATCATATTGATCTCTGAATGATTTATATACAATTTAGAAATAACAAATATTATTGTTAGTAATCTGAGATAAGAAAATAGGAAATTAAAACAAGTGGTTAGCGGTTTCAAAGATTAATTAAATGAAATAAATAATTTTTCGCTAAAATTTTTAAAAAAGTACTTTTAATATTAATAAAAAATGTGCAAATGGCATATATCTAGTTTTGCCTTAATATGTTTTGTAAAATAATGTTAAACTATTATNATATATCTAGTTTTGCCTTAATATGTTTTGTAAAATAATGTTAAACTATTATTTTATATGAGCACTTATAAAAATGATATACATGAATGTATTAAACCACGGTTTATTATCTTTAGCACCACGGCATGATAATAAAAGTCCTCAAAACTTAAATAAACTAACTTATGAAGTATTTTTTACATTATAGTTTTTAGTAATAGTTTAATTAATAATATTAGTTATAATATAACTAGTTTTAATTGTCTGTAAGTCAATAAAAATTAAGGTTTTATATAGTTCTTACTTATATTTAATTTTTTTATGTGTTAAAATTTTACTACCTAATTAATTCTGAAAACATGACAAGTCTTAATTTTCAAAGTATACCATTAAATAGCGTTGAATCAGTAAGTTTTAAGTGTAATTTACGAACAATAATTTGATTAATATTTGAATACTTATGGTTCATTACTTAATAAGTGCAATATTAATATAATAATATAATTAAGATTCTATTTATTTTATGTTAAACTTTTTGTACCAATATAAATATACTGAATTCCAACTTTAATTTAAATTGTATTTGAAATTCTGACACCCTCTAACTTTTTTTATCACTTTAATTAGTAAATATTAATACTTTAAAGAGTAGTTTTATACTAATATGATTTCAATTTTTTTCTAGCAATGGGAGACTTTGTATAATCAAGTAAGTAAAATATTTAAAATTAATGATTAGTTTTGTATGTATTAACTATAACATAGTTATTTGTTTAAACCATTTTAATATCAAATGATATTAAACAAATATTATAATTATAGTAACTTTAGTTTAAAATTTCAGTTAGAAAAATTTTGAATAATTTTTCTATATTTAGTAGATGATTCCATAATTACGCCTCACAAAAAATCTTAAAAATATAATATTAATCATTATTTTATAATAATGGATCTTTTTTGAACTGTTTCATATAAAAAATTATTCTGTTATCATTCTGTGTACCCTAACTATCTACTTTTGCTCTTCTAATAATCCCATTATTTTTAAACCATCAAATTTAGTCAATTGAAAATACATTTTTTGTTTGAAAATGGTTTTTATATTTTTTAATTTTGAATGAGTTATAGATGTTTAAAGTTTAAAAGAAATATTATGTGTACTTATTTTTAAAAGACGGCAACATTATCATGTTGTATATCAATAATCACTGCAGGTTTATTGAATTATGATAAACTCTACACCTCTATTGTATTATATACCGTTATCATTTATCAACTAATAATGATACAGTCTTTTAAAAATAAGTATGGATTTTTTCTGATACCTTAATTTTAAACAACTTTAATTAGTTGAAATTCAAATAATATAAAAAGATTAAAGATAAATTTTTTTTCCAAAAGAAAAAATCTGATGATATAAAAAAAATTGAGGTTGTCGTTTGAAAATCAAAAGTTAATTTGAGTTTAGAGTATAAGGGATAATAGCAGAAAACTAATTTTTCATATTAAGCAGCTCAACAAATATCCATTGTTGTTCAAGAAATAAAATAATGATTAGCTCTAATATATTTGAAGATATTTTGTGTAATGTACTTAAAAATCAACTTGTATATGTTCTTTTCATTTATCTTCAGTATCATTCCTTTTGACAGTTTGATAGAAAATTTATTTGTTTTATTTATTTATAAAATAAAATGTTCTTTTTTAAAAAGAATTATGATTTCACTTAGAATCATTGGACAATATCTTAAATGGTAAATCAAACCCATCTTAACTTTAAATATAATATTTTCACACTGAGTTACATAATTACANTAACTTTAAATATAATATTTTCACACTGAGTTACATAATTACAGAAAAATGTTAAGGGATATAAGTACCTGTGTAGTTTATATGATTTTCAAAGATTTTTAGTTTTAGTTATATTTAGTTTTTAAATATATTTATAATATTGATTACTTTAATATGTTTAGTTTGACAAAAACAGAGATGGAAAAATTTCAATATCAGAATTATATAAATCATTAAAAGAAGGAGTAGGTGATCAATACAATATACCCTCAAAATGTTTAAAATCTATTGCTCTAGCTGTTGATCGTGATCAAAATGAATATATTAGTTTTAGAGAATTTTTAAATTTTGTGAGTTTAATATATATAAAAATATTCTGTTTAATTCCAAAAAATATTATTTATTTATTTAAAATTATCAATAGTTATTTTGTTTTAGATGGAAAATCATCCTGTAGCTAAAAGCTTAACTTCAAGCGTACTTAATAAATATATACATTATGCTATTGTACCAAGAGGTCCTCCTAGACTAAGATCTGTTGGCTTAGATCATACCGATGGTGATTACGAAGATGAGTATTCTTGTAACCCTCCCGCCTTATGCATGATTCTTGTTAGCTTAATTGAAGTAAGCAAAATTAATTAAAAATATTAAATAATAGTATATTGACTGTTTGATAGTAATTTCTTAATACTTTTATTTTTATTAGATATTTATTTTTACTTGGGATGTTTTGAAATTACATACAACCGAATCAATTAGAGGACCAATGGCATCTACATTTATTTTTAATCCTCATCGTAGACATGAAGCTTGGCGCTTTCTTACTTATATGTTTGTCCATGTTGGGTAATAGTTTTACATGTTTGGTAATGAAAATAAATCACAACATAGCTTTTTTTTATAGGCAAACACATTTGATTGTTAACTTAATTGTTCAAGTTCTATTAGGTATTCCTTTAGAAATGGTGCATCGTGGCTGGCGAGTAGTTTTAATCTATTTGTCTGGTGTCTTGGCTGGTTCATTAGCAACATCTGTATCTGATCCTTCAGTGTATTTAGCAGGTGCTTCAGGAGGTGTTTATGCATTAATTACAGCTCATGTTGCCACTATAATTATTGTAAGAATTGTGTATTTATTTATTTAATCCGACATAGAACAAATTATTTAATTTATTAGAGCATATAAAATAAAAATAGAAGAATATTAACTAAATTATTTTATCAATTAATATTTTAGAATTGGTCTGAAATGGAATTTGGTATTTACCAACTATTGGTATTCTCTGTGTTAATAGTTTTTGATACAGGATCATCTATTTATAACCGCTACTTTGTGGAGGTGGATAATCAGGTAAAAAATATACTTTGTCATCACACTTATTATTAAATCAGCAGTGTTTTTTTTTTAATTGTGAAACAAATAAATATATTTTATATGTCTGTTAATGCTCTACAAAATAAAACTATTATACCTATTACAAATTTTATCTTTTAAACAATTAAATATTTTAAAATTTATTTCTTTTTTTAAAGGATTGTCATATTTTTTAATTGTATAATTTTTTTATCATTTATATACACATTTGAAGTTCTATAATTTAAAATTATTGAAAGTATAATGAATATGATTTTCAGATTGGCTATACTGCACATTTAGCTGGTGCTATAGCAGGTTTGCTTGTTGGAGTATACACATTACGCAATCTAAATGTTAAACCGTGGGAGAAAAAACTGAGTTGGATTTTTTTCACAGTTTATATTATTTTAATAGGATCAGCAGTCTTATGTAACATTGTATTATCTGATTATTTCTCCAAAGAAAAATATTAAGTGTTATATTGCAATATTTTAAATTACTAGTGTTAATTTTGAAGATCAATATTTTTATGGTATTATCCTAGTATTATTTTTTGAATTATTTAAAATTTTGAATAAGCACCAGATGCTTTTATTTCATAATTTATTACTATTAAATATTTTTCTATGCTGCATTGATAAAAATGCATTTATAAATAAGTATTATTTTTATATGTAGTATTTATTAGAATTCTTATTTTTCACCAATGAAAATATATTTTTATATGCCGTAAATTTCATAGTTTATTTGTTTATTTTTTGTTAGAAATTTATTTTACTTAATCAAAAAGTATTTTATTAAAACTTGTTTGAAATGCATTTAATATTAGAATAGTGATTAACTATACAAAAAGAGTTGTTTGTTGCAATGTGTTAAATAATAAATTTGATTAAAACATTAATTATTTAATATAATTAGTACACCAATCTTGAGCTTTTAATTAAAAAACATTAATTTTTTTATAATTTAATTTTCAACAAAACTCAATTCTTACAAAGACTAGAAAATTTAAAATACCCCTTATGTCATCTGTTTATCATTAAAAAGGAGTGGAAAAAGGTCATTATAATAGACGTTGTTTAGTGCAATTGTAAATAATATTTTTATTTTAAAAACGAAAATTAAATGGTAGTTTATTAATATTTATATTAAAAATTATAATTTAAAGAAAATTGAAAAAAAAATGTTCTGATTAGCTTGTCCAATAAATTGTGTAACCAATTAAAAAAAATAATTTGTTCTCTAATAAAGAAATTTAAATGAAAGAAATAATTATAGTACTAGAAATTTTTGAGAATTATTTATATTATTAAACATTGTATAATTGATTCATCCTTTCAAATAATGTTAATGGTAACAAGTATCCAAAACGTCATTAACCAATTAATAATCACTAGCAAGATGTAGGACACCTTCTCGAAACAACTAGATATAAATTTTATGTGTTCATATTATGATTGCATACATAAGTCCACACAAGGGCTACCTGGGTCAGCTGCCATAGGGAGCAATGTAAAACTCCATAAGGAGTAGTGATGAAGCTTGACGGCAACTAGCCTCCCATTGCAAAAATGACTATTCATATAATATTTTTCTTCGTCAGAAGTCTATTCCAAATGCATGTCCCTTCATCTGCGTAGCTGTATCTTAGAACTTTTTGAATATACTTCGACTGTATTCAAAAAGATTAGACGGGTCATACAAGGAATGCAGCAACCAATTCAGTTTTTCAATCAAACGATGGTTTCTGCAGTGATNAATTCAGTTTTTCAATCAAACGATGGTTTCTGCAGTGATCGGCTCAAACAAGATAGAGGAATTTTTCGCAGCAGACAATTATTTCAAAAAAAGTATAAATCCTTTTGCCGACATAAATGACATTATTATTATTAAGCCTGTTTCAAATATTTAATTTGCTTTAGAATAGTATCCCATCGAATTTATATACATATAAATATTAAATAAGACTTAAAATTTAATCACCGAAATTCGTAGGATTAATAATTTTTTAATAGTAGTTATACTCAATAACTTAAATTGAATTATCATACATAGTTTTTGTATGGGTGGCTCTCAAAAATCGAATGTAATAATAATAATAAATAATAATTGACTTTTCATATACTTAAATATGCCCCAATAATATTGCCACCATCTTTTGCAAGAAGGGATTATGTGATTTTATTACTAATTTTAATTCAGTAAAAAGTTTATATTCAATAGTTTAAAAAGTTTTAAGTTTAAAGCACAAGAAATTTTGTCTTAACCATTCAAAGAATTTCTTCTTTTTATATTCAAAGAATTTTGAAATCCCATCTGATAAAACACAAAACATGATCTAAATTTTACCAAGCAACCCAGTTTTATGAAATAACAAGATAAATAGGTAGAATTGGGTTACAATATTTATTTTCCAATAAAAACTAATTACAATAAATATTAAATAATTTTTTTTTATTATTATAAATAATAAGAAATAATCTTTAGTAAAATTATCCATTCAAGTCAAATCAAAATCACAACACAACAGTCAACAATTAAAATTACATAAAATGTTCAAATACAATATAGTCATTTTTTATATTATTTAATACATTTGGTTTGGACTTTTTTTACCTTACACAACAAAAATATAAAAAATTATTATATGAAAATGCAATGGTCAATTGAAAAAAAAAATTGAAAAAGTTTTTAAAAATCATTAATTTTAATAATACAATTAACTTTTTTTTAAAGGAACTTTATACTATACTAGTTAAATTAATAAAACAAATGAAATAGGACTATATTTTAATTACTAGATTTACTATATAACAGTAAGTAGGATTTGCTCAACAATACTTTTTTGTTCATTAAATTACATTATCAGAGTATCTAATTTTACAAAAGAAATAATTTAAATTTATTAAAATAGTGTTGCACTCTAGAAAATATTATTATTTGATCGATTCAGTAATAATAAAATACCCATTCCAATAAGAAAATATTACAATTACAATATAACAATAATTTTACAAAGATAATATATTATTAATTAATAAGATACCTTTTAAATATATAGAGTGATTGTTTAACTATGACTCATACAATATTTACAATATGGAATATAATATAATTTTTTCTTTCATAATTTAATAATACTATACATTCTATAAGTTTCCCAAAAAAATTAATTCTATCCTCTAATTTCCTCTTTAAAATTTTATTATTAGATTTTTTTTTAAGGAAATATATATGTTTAACAAACTTGCAAATAGAAAATGATCTATCTAAAATAATGACTCGTCAATAACAATTTTTGGGTCATTCATTTGGAAGTTATTAACACTTTTATTTCAAAAGTATTAACACTTTACTATAAAGACTGGTTGTAAAACACGGCTTTGTTTATTTTTATATCTAGATATTAATAAACAGTACCACTCTTTTTGAATTGTTATAAAAATTCTAATATCTTTTAAAATACTAGTTTAATAGTTCTTATCAATCAGTCATTTTATTAAATAAATCATTTTCTGGTTAGTAAGTTGCTTAAACATATATGTTTACATTAAAAAACTAAAATTGATAAAATTTTAAGCAAAGAGGGGGGATAATGACAAATTGTTTCCTGAAAATTATACATTAAAGGATTCTTTTAACTTCTGAAAAGTAAAAAATTTCATTATGCTTTATATTAAAAAAAAAAATGACATGGGTCATAGTTAACTCTTTATGTAAAACAAAAAAATTAATGAATATCAATTACAATTATTAACTTAGCTTAAATAATAATACTACTTTTTAGTGATGTTTTAAATAATATATGAAGTTAATTCTTTAAAGATATTTAGATTTATGTAAACATGTTTGATGAAAAATAAAACAAAAATATATAAATTAAATGAAACTAAAAAAGATAAGTTAATATATAAGAATATAAATTAATCTTTAGTAAAAAAATAAAAATGTGTATTTAAGTAAACTGTCATAAATGTATTTGAAACAAAAAAATTTAAAATCTTTGGATAATATTGTATGAGGTATGTAATTAAATAATTATAGTTGAAATATTTTGATGATATTTTGTATGTTGCAATAATAAATTTTTTTTTTAAATTAGTTGATAATATAATACATTTCTCAACAAATTAAAATAAAAAAATTCTATTATTAAATTGATAGCCTTTAAAATAAGTTTTGTATTATCGCAATAAAAATAAAACAGTAATACTAATATAGATATAAGAAAGTAATACTACAATCACAGTCTAAGAGTACACATTTTTAATAAAAAAATGATAGTAATAAATAAAAAAATAACAAAGAGTAGATTAGTATAAAGTCAAGTAACTAAATTATAAGTTATACATAACAAAGTTGAAATAATACTTTAAATATATTTTTTGTGGTTAGGAAAATAAAATTACTATCATTTTAAAATAAAGTTATACAAAATTAGGGATTTAACAAATGTTATAAAATAATAAAACATCCATGTAAAACGATTCAAAACTANTTATAAAATAATAAAACATCCGTGTAAAACGATTCAAAACTAAATTTCTCAATTATGCAGCATTTAATAATAATAAAATTTAACACTTAAGTCCAATTTTATAAGAAATTTATAACATGATGCGTTTAGATGAAATGTCATGTAAACTGAATAACTGGTAAGGAGTAAAAATATCACTCAACTGATGAATTGATTCACAAGATATTCTATAATATATAAAATGATAAAAAATTAAATATGAAATAATATTATTAATGATTGTGTGAAGCTGAGAAGTTTTTCTTTCTTGCATGAGAAATAAAAATTATAATAAAAATTCATAACTTTGTTACTGTGCAGTTATTTAAAGATATTCACATTAATTTTAAATAAGGCAGTGTCTAATAATTGATTTTGAAATTGTGAAATATTTTTATTCAAATATTCAGATACTAAAAATTGCATTTAATACAAAATATAAAATTTTAATCCGACTCTAAAGTACATAAAAAATTGATCAACAAATATAACTAGACTAAAGAACTTATTTTATTTATTTTTTAAAATATTTGAAAAATATCTAAACTCCCTTATTAACTATATTTTTTAGTTATTTTATATTTTTATATAAATATAAAAAGTATATTGATTTTACATACATGGTTGTACATTCTACAATTGTTTGTCTATAGCTGCAGCTTCTTGCATCCATTGTTCAATTTCATGCCTATACATTCTTCGTTGTAAAACTTGGCGATTTCTTGGTCTACTTCCCAAGAATAATATTTTACCCTATAATATGATTAAAATTATAACATATTATGGCAAATTAAAATTTGGATAAATTCTAGAATATGCACTCATCCTTTGAAAAAAATTAAAAATAGAGACATTAAAACTCAATGTGAAATGAATTGTATCATGTATTTAATTATTTAAGTATCTTATGGTATCAACTAATGAGTACAAATAAGACTGACTATTTGTTAGGTTATAGAATATTATTAAAATTCAGCTACCTTTTGTAGTCTAAATTTTATTTCTTAAAACTAAAAGATACTAGATGTAAACACAAAAATGTTGTCATGTCATAGGTGGGGTTTTTGTTCTGTTAATGAACTAATATGCTATCAATATAATAATCAAAAACATAAATACATATATTTTAATACTTAATATTCTAATAAAAAAAAATTACTTACAACACCAACAAACATATCTGATCTATACTTTTGTAATGCTTGGAAATCTTTGACATAACTCATAACATCTTCCCATTTTAATTCAACTTCTTCATGAAGAAGTTTTTCCTCTTTGTAAATAAAAAATGATTTGAAAATAAATATATAAATTATTTAATAAATTGAGATTGAAATAATAAAAAACATACCATCTCTTTTTGTAGTTTGTTTTTTGTACTGAATTCGGAATCTAAACGCTTCTAAAACTGAAGCTACTACAATGGTTAAAACTACCATGGTAAAAAGATAAAAAAGTACAAAGTATGCTCTACTAGCTGCATGAACTTTAGTTGCATAACCATTCATCACAACAAACCAATTATTCACAACAGTGAGTTCAAATAGTGTGACAAGACTTACAGCCAAGTTAGGAAATGTATTCAAGTAATAATATCCTGATTTATCTGGTGTATACTTATAATATGTTTCAATATTTGTGCCACTATAAAAAATGTGTTACATTTAATATGTTAAAAAACTTGAATAAAAAAAAATAATTTAAAATATTACTTGCAACAGTTTCTCATATCATAACCAGCAAATAATTCCATTCCAATAATTGCAAAGAAATAATACATAACTAGCATAACACATCCAACAGATTTTATTAATGGTGATAAAATGGCCATAGTACCAATGATATCTCGGTAACGCTTTTTCAATTTAAATAATCTCAATAGTTTTAAAGGTCTAAAAACAACTACAAAGACAAAATTTGGAAAAAGTCTTAGAGATACTACAGCAATTAAACCACCAATTGTTACAATAAAGTCATACAAGTTCCACCCTGATGAGTAATACCGCTCAAATCCTAATCCTAAAATTTTCAGAACTACTTCTATACTGAAAACTAAAATAAATTATTAAAATTTTTTATAGTATAGAAAAAAAACATTGTATTTACAAGCTAAAAAGAAACATGTATCCCATCCACCACTGAATGCAAGTATTGATTCATTCATATTTGGATATGTATGAACACCTCGTTCAATCATTGCTATACCATTCATTACTGTTAGTACATCTAAATCACAAATATACTCATAAATTATACATAGAAACATAACAATAGTCAGTAAAAACTTTACAAAATATATGATCAAAATAGGACCATGAAATAATAGAATTTGCAGTTTTGCATAGTCTCTGAATTGCAGGAGGAGCAGTAAAATACCAAGGTGTGTCCATTGTTTGAGGTTGCCAGGTCATCATTACAGCATCATAGACAGAATAAAACTCATCAATAGTTAAAGAGCCTGTTGCACTGGTGTTTAAAAATCTGAACATAACTATTATGTCCCGATTATCTAAAAGGAAAATTCAATTAACATTAACATTTTTTCAANATATTTTTTCACTCAATATTATAGCTACTTTTTTTAGGAGAATAATATCTTATCAATCCTTCAAATTGAGGAAATTCCATTTGATTGGGATTTTCTTTAGTTAACAATAATTTAAAAGCATTTTGGCATGCTTGACGTTTATGTAAAAGTAGTTTTCGAAATTTATCTCTTTCAATACTAGTGAATGTTTCATATACAACAGCCAACATCTATAATAAAACAAAATTATTACATTTAAAACTTATATTTATATAAGTATCTATTATAGCATACTAGTTCATATTAAAAAAATACTAACTAAGTTCATAAGAAGATATAATACTATGCATAAATATGATATGAAGAATAGTGAATACCATTTAGATTTAGAATAAGCTGGCATCATTATATCAGGAAAACTAAAAATAATTTTATAATTATAAAACAATTTTTGGTAAAATAAAATTTAAAATTACTTGGCTGTAGTTAGTAAAACAAACATATTAACAAAGCTGTTGAATAATGTGTCAAAATGATTATGTAAATCGGTACAACTTTCAAATAAATAATATCCTAGAACCGAATATACAGTAACGAAAAAAAATATTAGAAGTAACATATCAAATATTGGTGGTAACGATTGTAAAATTTGTCTAATAAATCGTCGAACTCCTCCAAGATAATGGCTATCAACTAAAAATATTGGTCGTAGAGCTCGTGTCACTCGAAAATGAGATGTTTGGCGAATCAGTACAACAAATGCTTCTAAAATCATTATAGCTAATGTAATGCACTGAAATAAACAAAGAAATTTTCAGATTAATAACAAAATGGTAATTAAATACTTTTTGGAAGAAATTTATCCTACAATAATAAAAAAATTAGTAGATGACAATAATAATGAATTAAAATTATACAAGTGTCCAAAGAGTAAGGGAAATGGTATTACAGTTCCCGTTATTTGTTGATTCATATATTTCCTTCATTTTTGAACACTATATAAAACTTGGATAACATAATTGGTTAAAAATAATACATACAAGGCCACACATTAGCTCAATTATGTACCTTCAACATGGTCCGTTTGTGTTTTAAAATGGTTAACCAGCCCATCCATCTAAGTTTTAAAGCCAATCCAAGTCCAATTACTCCAAGGGCTAACAGTTCAATGATGCTATGAATGGCAACTGGCATCTATATACAAAAACATTCATAATTTAACAGTTTTTTAAAAAATATTCAAATTAATACATTAAGTTATAATTTAATTTAAGAATAAAACAGATTTTATTACATTCATTGTTTTAATTTGATTATATAATATAAACAGAGAATATAATACATACCAAGTCATTTCAAAAAACAGAAATTTTTTTAAAGATTATTCTTTTTATAATGATTAACAAAAATATCTCATATATTATTTGAATGTAAAAATCTTTAAAAATACTTTAATTTATAAGTATTTTATTTACCAAAAATACTATAATGTTGATGGTATTGTAATATTTTTAGGTATTTCACACTACTCCCTTCTATACCATATAACACAAATAATTCAAAAAAAGAATTAATTGATTAGTCAATTTTCATTCATAATAATTGTTTTTAATAAAAAAGAAAAAATGTTTTTATGTTTCTAATGATTCTTCTTTTCAATTCAGTATTTAAAAATATTTTTATGACATTTGAGTAAATTATTTTAATTTTCTAACTTTTAAAGATTAGCTATCATCAAATTATTTATCATAAATTAATTAATAATTACAAAGTGTGACAGAAGAGTAACAAGACAATTTAAATAAGTGGTTTATTTTTAAAATTTTACAATTTAATGAATAAAATCTTCAAAGTAGCTTTCTTTAGAAACTACAAATTATTCCATATGTTGCTAATATTCTCGAAATTAGTGCTGCTAACTACTTCCAGTAAGCCCTTTAAAAGTTTTGTTGTTTTCATTTTTACATCATCAAACATTTGAAAATGGGTTCTTTTTAATGAAATTTTAATTTTTGGAAATAAGAAGAAATCACAAGGTCTAATGAGTGGAGGGGTGTTTAAGTATAGAAATATTTTTTTCAGTCAATAAACATTGAATTGAAAATGCACTATGAGCTGAAGCATTGTGCTGATGAAGAACCCAGCCGTTCTTCCACAGTTCTGATCTCTTTTTTCTAAGACATTTTCTCAAATAATTAATACCTCTTTATAATAATATTAGTTTACTGTCTTTCCACTAGGAATCCATTTAACCAAAATTATTTCTTTAATGTAAAAGAAAATCATGAACAATGCTTTGAATTTTGACTTTCTCATTTGCATTTTTTTTATACTTGGGGAAGTTGGTGTCTTCCAATGCAAGGATTAATTTTTCATTTCTGGATAGTATGTGAAAATCCATATTTCGTCACACGTAATAACATTATTTAAAAAAGACAGATTATCTATTAAGATTTTTAAAGTATTTGAACAAACCTTTTTAAGATTCAATTTTTGATCTAATATCAATTTTTTAGGAACTATATTGGCACATACTTTTTTCATGTTTAAATTGTAAACTAAAAATTAAGTAAAATAAAAAAGCACTATCAATATTAACCACCTCTGCTATAGTCTTAATACTTATTCAACTATCATGCCATATAATTTTGTAGATTTTTTCAAAGTTTTCATATGTTTTTGATGTAGTAGGAAGTCCAGAATGATTGTCGTCTTCTATTTTCCACTATAAAATCTTTTGTGCTATTTAAAAATGCGAAATCTTGATAGANAAAATCTTTTGTGTTATTCAAAAATGCGAAATCTTGATAGGCAATCCTCACCATGGACTTCACTTAACATCCAAAATGATTCTGTAGAATTTTTTTTTAATTTAACAAGAAATTTAATGTTAACACATTGTTCAGTTTTAAAATCTAAAATTTTCCGGCAATATAGTCAAACATACACTAGTAACAAGGCTAGTACCATAAAATAAAATGAAGCGATTTTATCAATACTCATAGCAATCTCAGATAAATGTTTCCTAATTATATTTCAATTATCACTTTATAGATAATGTTAATAATTTAGTTTATATTTAAAAAATCTCGTTACTTTTGTGTCACACCTCGTATATTAATTAATAATTTTATAATTACTTCTAAAGGAGGTGTAGCTGGGTCTTCAGCAAAAGCTAGGATTATAAGAACAAATGATGTAGCTAAATCCATGCCATAATACCAATTATTATGAACTAATAAGTAAGCTGGAAGAGCTTCGGGTTCATGAGGATGAGAATTGAACTTTTCATTGTTTTCTCCTTCCTAAAATATATATATATGTAAAATAATAATTTATCAATTGAATAAAGAATTAACATACATCGTATATTTGATAAGTAAATTATTGAAGATAGATATCACAATATAATAATTTTTGGAGTGAAACTTCTTTACTGAGGATCAAAAGAAAAAGAAAAAGATTAACACGCATGACAATGTTTGGATTCTATTGTTCTATGCCCATTATATCTTTTGTAACNTTGGTGAGAGCTGAGAAAAATAGATAACAGACACAAAAAAAAAACACATCATAGTAAAATTAATACCTTCTCAGCTTCGCATCGAAGCTAATAATTAAAATAAAATTTTTAAGTGTACATTTTATTTTATCCTAATAAAACCAAATATAACTAAGAAGTTTCACTTCATCCACATATATTAATAACACCTTTTTTTATTTTATTATTTATAAAGATATATTTTACTTCTAAAAAAATAGCTGCTTCATGATAATTCATTTCCCAAAATTGATCAATATCAATTCTACGATCACCATCACTAAATATTACATCTAGTCGCCCATCAAAATGACCTCTTAAATCTATATTTTCTCCATCTTCATTTGGAATAGTTGATTCATTTATACTTAATGGTATATCACCTTTTCTATCTATAATCATAACACAGAATATTAGTAAAACAATGTTAATGAATACTAAGTCCTAGGTATTTACTTGTTGGTGATTGGGAATGGTAGGAGTTAACAATATCATCTTCAAATCTTGAATAACCATCTGCCATTTTCTCTAATTAATATTATTGTTTTAAGGCTCATAAATTCTAAATTATTCACTTTCTGAGGTTCAATTCATATTTTTAGAGTAAATCATAATATTGAAAAAATTGTCAGATTTTTAACAGTAATCATTACGATTGTAACGTGAATTTGAATATTTTATTATCTCTGAAGTGCTGACATAATGACATAAAGATGCTTTAAATTTAAAAAAATAAGTAGAATAGCCAACAGTAAATTTATGCAAATTATGTAATACTTTGCAATTGTATGTGTAAATAATTGATGCGTTACACTTATGAGATGGAATTTATTTAAAACTATAAATTAGTATACAACGATTTTATTGTAAGTGTAATTGATCTAAGTAAACAAAAAAGATAAGTAAGAATATTCATCAACGAATTGATAAAAATTCAATATTTAAAATATTATTTTATAATGATAATGTTAATCAAGTAATCGCAGAATTCTAATCGGTCTAAGAAAATAATATTTGATAAAAATCGTACCAGACTAGCTGTTCTAATTACAAGATGTAAAAAAATATAAGAAATAAATTTTTCATAAAAAACATGAAATAATATTTGAAAAAACCGGTTTATTAATTGAATTAGTAAAATTAAGACTTATAAAATTATGTTTGTTAAAAAGGAATCACCAAAAATATCTTCAAGAAAAAAAACAGCATTGCCAACAATACATAAATTTATAAGTTGGCTGCTTATATACATAACCTAAAACTTTACTATGTTGATTTGAATTCAATAACAAATCAGCATCGGGTTCTTTTAGGTAACTTAGTGTAAGTGTTGTATTATTCTGGCGACAATTTCAAAGTAAGTGAGCTCTTTTATCCATTTTAATCCATAATATTAATTAAATAATTCTTAATATATAATAATTAATATTGTTTCTAGTATTTTCTTGCTAAGAATATTCTTAGAAACAATTCTGAAAGTATTTCAAGTGTTAATAGTTGTTTTTCTTAAAATTTACAAAATTAGAAATAATTGATATAATGTAATAATTGTTTAAATTATTAATCTGTTAATTAGAAAGATCGTATTATTTATTTTACTTTTTCTGTAGTATTCTATTGCTGAATGTTTTTTTACATAATTGTATTATGCCCAGTATTTGAACTGCTGATTATGTATAATTTATAAATATGTATAATGCTCAACCTATTCTACTTTTAAATTATTCTAAAAATTATTAATAGATTTTGCTAAGTTCTTTAGTTATTATTTTTATGGGGAGAGGAATATTAAATTTATTTATTTTAATATTGCCAAAAATATGTTTTTGCAAATTCGACATAAAATCTTAATTATATTATTTTTATAGATGGCTAAGGCTAAGGAAGTAGTCGCTTCTAATACACCTGGGTCTACTGATCCTAAAAAGAAGTTAAGACCTAGCAAAGTCAAGAGTTTGGCTAAACATCAAGAGAAAAAAAAGGCTAAAGCAGCAAAAGGTGTCGTACAAAAGAAAACTAAACCAAATTTAGCTAGTGGCACTGCTACATGGAAAGTAGTGTACAAAAGTGGAACTTGGCGTTTTGTTCACCGCCCAACTGAAAAAAAATTGCATGCCAAAGCAAGAGCTGCTGGAAAGCCAATTGAAACACCAGTAATTTTAACTAAATGCTATCAATTATTTAATATTTTTATTAATTTATTTAATCATTTTTGTAGAAAAAGAAAAAATCTGTTATTGTTAAGCCAATCAAGGGTGAAAAGAATGGTGAAACTCGCTTAGTGCATACTGTTAAACGAAAAGCCTACTACCCAACCTTGAAAAAGTAAATGTTTTAATGTTATAACAGAGTTACTTGTTATTAATTATATGTTGGTATAGTAATACTAGTTACAGTGAATTATTATTATTAAGTTTAATATTAATGTGTTAAACCTAAAACAATTAGTTCTTGAAATTTAATTTAAAACATTTTTAAATGTTCAAAATAACAATTTTAAAGTTATACCATTTATCTTAAAAAAAGGTAGTGCGATGTAATTGAAGGTGATATGAAAACTTCTAGTCTATGTATTGATGATGTGAGATATAACTTTAAGTGGAAGTTTATAATACGGGTGGTTGGCCAACCCCAAATAATTGGTATAAACATGAACGATAAGAAAATATCAATAAAATTAAATGTTTTATGTTCTTACTTGCACTTCTAGTTCAATGATTCCTGTTTAGATTATATTTAATATTAATTTATATATAATGGCTTATAACTTATTTTATTATTTTTTTAGACTAACTCTAATTTTAATTAAAATTCTTTAATTTATATAATTTTTGGATTATACATTCAAAAGTACTTTTGCACAAAAATTTTTTACAGAAAAATTAATTTCAAATTAAAAATCAATTAATTTTTTTTTTTATTAAGGCAAAATGAATTAAAATTAAAATACATCTTTTAAATTAATTTATAATCAAAAATTAATAGATTTTAGTTAATTTTAGCTTCAATGCAAAGCTGAGATGATATTAATTTTACTATGATGTGTTTTTTTTTTTTTTTTTGTCTGTTACCACTTTTTCAACTCTCGCCGAACCAATTTCTTTCAACTATATGTCAAAAGATCTTAAATCATATTTAGTCAAAGACATTACTCTCAAAAATTGAAAAAAATTTTCCTCGTTCCCTGTAAATGGAAGAAATCTCCAAATAAATTACAAATTTAAAAATCGCTAATTTTCGAAATTTTTTCAATTTTTTTTAGTTAAAATTGCCATAACTTTTTTAAAAATAACCAAATCAATATAATTCTTTATATATATATACAAGATGTCTTTACCTATCATTTGGTATATATTTTTATAAATCTGACCTCCCACAGGGGGGATTTAAAAGACAACTTTTTCACAAAAAATTAACTTTTGAAAGTCTGACACTTATATATATCTTAAATTAAAGATAATGTAATATACTTTATTATTGAAAAAAAAATTTTTTTTTGTATATATGAAACGGACATTAAATTTGGTAATTAACAATTAACAAATTTTGTAAAAAAATTACAATATTAAATATCAATTTCATACTATATTTAATTTCCATAGTAAATATTTATTCTTATATTACATTTATAAATCATATAACTTGATATAAATAAGAAAATAGAAGATCATGTTCTTTTGGAATAATCCACCAATTTTTTAAAGTTAAACTACAGGTTTGCATAGAAGCCTTTTTTATGATAGTGATTTTAATAACTGTCAGATATCATCTATACTGGACCCAACTATGCTATGTCCCCACTGTGCTGGGTTTTTATACTTACTATATAGGTGTCAGTAAGGAAACATTTCTTTTCTTATTGTTTATTGAAATTGATCTGTTTTCTTACTTACTGAACACTGTATATATTTAAATATATTGAACCAGAGTCGCAGATTATACACATTGAAGTATTTCTGTGCTAAAGAGTGTTCATAAAAAAATTTCTTTTATGTTTATGCACCATTTATGATGTTTCATATTTGGCCACAAATAAATGAAACAACTTAAAAACTTAAAAATTATGTTTTAAAAGCTTTGTTTTTCAAATTGAACCAGAGTCGCAGATTATACACATTGAAGTATTTCTGTGCTAAAGAGAGTTCATAAAAAAATTTCATTTATATTTATGCACCTTTTGTATTAATTATGTATAAAATGGACACAAATAAATGATATAATATTTTTTTAATGTTTCAAATATGATTCTTAATATAAAAAATGAGTTAGATTTTCTAAGCTTATCTTTTTTTTAATTGATTTTGAAATTTAAAATGTTTTTGATTTTTACTCTAAATATTCTTAGTAAATTTGATGTTATTATAAATTTTAATTAAAATTTATGTAGATTTTAACATTTTATTCATTATAATTTTTATATAAATATTATTTAATAAATAAAATTTCATGAAAAATAATTTTTTTTTAAATGTTTTTTTTAGGCCTAAGAAGCACAGATCTCGTGGACTCTTTAAAAATCACAAACGTAACACACGCTCTTCTTTGACTCCAGGAACAATTGTTATTTTGTTAACTGGTGTTCACAAAGGTAAACGAGCAATTTTATTGAAAGTACTTGATTCTGGTTTACTATTGATCACTGGTCCATTCATTTTGAATGCTATTCCTCTAAGACGTGTCCATCAAGGTCATGTAATTGCTACTAAGACTAAGTTGGATATATCCAGTGTTAAACTTCCAGAACAAGTTGACGATAAATATTTTAAGCGAGTTCAATTAAAGAAGAAACCTAAAAAGAATGAAAGCAAAAGCTTGTTTGTTGCTAAACCAAAAGTAATCTTATAAAAAAAATTTAAAAAAATGTATTAAAATTAATTTTTCATTTTTTATTGATAAATAGACCTATCGACCATCTGAGACTAGGAAGTCTGATCAAAAATTGGTAGATGCTGAAGTATTGAATATTCTGAAGAAACATCCAGCTAAAAAGTCACTTTTCTTGTACCTTTCATCAATGTTTGGTTTAAGAAATAACCAATATCCACACAGAATGCAATTTTAAGCAATCTTTGTGTATTAAGTTGTTTCTATTTTGTATGAATACATGACGAATATAATTGATTGTGTATTTTTATGATAATTGTTTTGATTTCCTTAATTCATTATTTTTATAAATAATAATGATTCTTCCAGAAACTAATATCAAATAAATTAATGCTGGAAGAGTAATTGCATTAAATTTTACTGTTATTATAATCTATCAACAGAAATATATTTCTCATTAAACAATTTCCTAGAAAACCGACACTTTTTTTCGTCAAAATACAATAAATAGAAGTTTTAACAAAATGAACTAAATTCACTTACGAATATTGCACACAAAAATTACCAAACAATTTGTTAAATTAGAGTTAAGAAATAGTTTTGATTTTTAGTTGAATATCAATTTAGAAAAATCCATCACAGTGGGTCGCGGCACAGTGGTGATGTGGCATAGTTGGATCAAGTATAATGATATCTGACAGTGATTAAAATCACTATAAAAAAAAACGCTTTGATGCAAATCTTTAGATAGTGTATAATTAAAAAAAATTGGTGGATTATTCTAAAAGCTACATGATCTGCTAGTTCCTTATTAATATCCTGATTAAGATAAAGTATGTCGAATGAAAGAGGGATATAAATATTATTTCTCATAAAAAAATTGTGTGGGGCTATACACTTTTCAATAAGTTATAGCATTATAAAGTTAAAAATGCAATTAATAAAATCGAGAATTTTCACACAAAAATAGCATTCGGTAGTCATTTTTAACATGAAGAAAAAATAAAGTCCGAAATTTTTTATTCAATTCCGAAATATTCAACGAAGGTATTTGAATGCCGTACTCTGAGTGTGAAACTCTGAATTGTAAGCGACTCATCAATCATACATCAAACCGATATATGGATAAAAAGGACAATTTTGTATAGTTCTATACAGCTCTTTTAACGTAGGAGGCAAAATATTCAAAAAATAGCTAGTTCAAATTTTAAAGTTATTTTTCTCGAAATCAAAGAAATAAAAAAATTTATATATGTTTAACTTTTTATACTATGTCAATTAGATTGATATCATATTTATGAAAATCACTGTAATCCCCTTATAATAAAATAAAATAAAATCAAGAATTTTAACACAAAAATAGCATATTTTTGAATACGGTAGCTATTTTTACTATGAAGACAAAATAAAGTCCGAAATTTTTTTTTTAATATTAAAGTATATTACATAAGCTTTAATTTAAGATATATATAAAAGTGTCAATATTTCTGGAACACCTTCAAAAATTAGGATGAAAAATTTCTACTTTCTATATGCATTTTTATGTTTTGAACCCCTCTTGTATAAAGGGAAATGGTCCGATTTAAAAAAAAATATGTCAAATTAAAGAGGTATACAAATATTATTTCTCATAAAAAAATTCTATTGATCCATACATTTTTCAAAAAATTATAGCGTTATAAAGTTAAAAATATGAAAAAGAATTTTTTTACAAAAATCGTATTTTAACTTCGATGCGAAGCTGAAAAGGTATTGTCGAAGACATTACCCTCAAAAATTGAAAAAATTTCCCTCGTTCCCCGTAAATGGGGGAAACCTCCAAAAAAATTACAAATTTAGTAATCGCTAATTTTCGACCAAATCAATATCATTTTTTTTTATAGATGCAAGATGTCATTATCTATCATTTGGTATATTTTTTTATAAATCTGACCCTAAACCTGCCCACAGGAGAAGATTTAAAATAACAACTTTTTAACAAAAAATTAACTTTTTCAACTTAACTTTTGAAAGTGTTGCGGAAATACTGACACTTTTATATATATCTTAAATTAAAGCTTGTGTAATATACTTTATTATGAAAAAAAAAATTTCGGGNCTTTATTATGTAAAAAAAAAATTTCGGACTTTATTTTGTCTTCACGGTGAAAATGGCTACCAAATGCTATTATTGTGTGAAAATTCTCAATTTTATTTTTTACATTTTTAACTTTAAAATGTTATAACTTTTTGAAAAATGTATAGATCAATACAATTTTTTTATAAGAAATAATATTTATATACTTCTTTCATTCGACATACTTTTTTTTTAAATCGGACCATTTCCCTTAATACAAGAGGGGTTCAAAACATAAAAATGCATATAGAAAGTAGAAATTTTTCAACTTAATTTTTGAAAGTGTTCCGGAAATACTGACAGTTTTATATATATCTGAAATGAAATCTTATGTAATATACTTTAATATTAAAAAAAAAAAAAATTCAGACTTTATTTGTTTTCATGGTGAAAACAGTCATCAAAGTTAATAAAAAAAAACCCAGCACAGGGGGGTCGCTGCACAGTGATGACGAGGCATAATAGGATCAAGTATAATGATATCTGACAGTGATTAAAATCACTATCAAAAATAAACGCTTCGATGCAAATCTTTAGATAGTGTTTAATTTTAAAAAATTGGTGGATTATTCCAAAAGCTACATGATCTGCTATTTTCTTATTAATATCCTGATTGAAAAAGAGATTATTAAAAAATATTATTTCTTATAAAAAAATTGTGTTGATCCATACTCTTTTCAATAAGTTATAGCATTATAAAGTTAAAAAAGTAAAAAATAAAATCATGAATTTTCATACGAAAATAGCATTTGGTAGCCATTTTCACCACGAAGACAAGTCCAGAAGTCAAATTTTTTTTTTCATAATAGAGTATATTACATTATCTTTAATTTAAGATATATATAAAAGTGTCAGACTTTCCGGAACATTTTCAAAAGTTAAGTTGATAAAGTTAATTTTTTGTTAATAAGTTGTTATTTTAAATCCTCTCCTGTGGGCAGGTTTAGGGTCAGATTTATAAAAAAATATACCAAATGATAGATAATGACATCTTGCATCTATAAAAAAAAATGATATTGATTTGGTCATTTTTAAAAGAATTATGACAGTTTTAAGTAAAAAAATNGGTAACAGACACAAAAAAAAAAAAAACATAGTAAAACCAATACCTTCTCAGCTTCGCATCGAAGCTAATAAATTAATGAGGTAATTTTTAAAGAAGAAAAATCTATTATCCAAGTTTTTAATTACTCAATACTTTACTATAGAAAATTATTTTTGACAAGAGTAAAGACACTCTTTATGACAAGCCCTTCAACTATAGCCAAAATTGTATTTTTAAAGTAAATAATGATGGATTTACATGCTTAGAAAAATAGATAACAGACACAAAAAAACACATTATAGTAAAACCAATACCTTCTCAGCTTCGCATCGAAGCTAAAAAATATTTGCATTTCTTTCATTTATTAATCATCATCTTCTTGCGCTTGTTTTCTAGCTCTTTACTTTTCTCAATATCAATCATATTAAGCTTGGCGATTTTGGAATAAAAAGTGTTACGTAAAAAATTGCAGTAGTATGATTACAAATCATTTTTTGATTACACAGTTGTGAAAATAGGAAGGAACTAAGTTTAAATATATAAAGTTTAAAATTATTATAAATATGCTCATAACTCAGATCTAACTTACAACGTTTATAACTTTTGGTACAACTATCATTTATTGAAATTTTTCATAATTATTGTCTTTTTAAACTACTAATTAAATAATTTATTTTAGCTTCGATGCGAAGCTGAGAAGGTATTAATTTTACTATAATGTGTTTTATTTTTTTTTTATTTCAAAATATAAAATTTTTAAAACAAGTATCTATCAAGTTACAACAGTGCTGGAGCAAGTGGGGCAATTACCTATCTACTTTTTTGTCGGTTGAGCAAAAAAAAAAAGGTTTGGTTACTAATATTAGGGCCCCCACGACTAACTTGCCCTAGCCCTGCAAAACTTTGCGCTGGTACTGAGTTACAAGCATTTTAATACATATAGTGGATATTTCGAAATTAATAATTAAAAAATTTGAAAAAAAAATATATTTTTTTATTATTGGTAAATGATAAAAATGATATATTATTTTGAGTCTAAAAATGCAATAATTATTAAAAATTTCAAAAAAATGATTATTGTATCAAAAGTCGTAAGCGTAGGACTAAGACAAAATGAATAACAATTGTTATCATTAAATATATTTTTAAACGTACCCAGAAATCATGCAAAAAATACGAGTTTTCTAGTTTTTCCTAAATGCATTTAGGAAAACCAGAAAATAAGTAATAACATGTAATTACTTATGTCACTGGTTACCATCTCCTATTTATAGACTTTATTTTAAAACGTTTTTAGAGTGTTAAATTTGAATAAAAACAATTATCTATTTAGTTGTAATTTTATATATTTACTGTGGTATAAATATAATATAATGTATTATTATTAATCACACAAAAAGAACAATAAATATTTACTAGGGGTCTGGCGCAATACTCCTCATGTAATATATACAGAGTGTTGGTTTAATATAAGGTGATATTCAGCAAAATCAAAAACTAAAATTTTCAATCTCCAAAATTGGGGGTTTTCCGGTGCTTCCACTCCAAATTTTATTTGAATCAAAAATAAACATTGCTGCGGTAGTTCTCAAAACGAGAAAAACCGGAAAACCCCACGGATAATATGATATAATATGAATATTTAAAATCGTTTAAACTTAAAATGCATCACATCACGAGGCTCTAGTGGAATTTTAATAAGAATTGATGGATCACATTAAAATGAATTTTTTTCCAAGCTTAATTCAAGGCAGAAAATCAAAAAGTCGAGGGACCACTTAGTTTTTATGAGAATTTAATGGGAAATACTGTGGCGATGTTTATTTATAGTTCAAATAAAATTTGGACTTGGAACACCGGAAAACCCTCAATTTTGGAGGTATAAATTTTAGTTTTTAATTTTGCTATTTTTAGGTTCTACTAAATATCACCTTATTACTCGTTACTTACATCAAACCATTACTCTGTATTTGAACTAATATTAATATCCTAACTAGTGATGGGCATAATCGAATGATTTCGATAATCGAATGATTAGTAATCGAGACATTTTCATAATCGAGTGAATCTCTCGAAAAATCACTCGAAGTTAAAATCGTCTGCTCGTATGATAAGAATAATCAACTATTATTATTTATCGAGAGAATCG